AGTAGTCGTAGTCGTAGCCGTAGTCGTAGTAGTAGTAGTAGTAGTAGTAGTAGTAGTAGTAGTAGTAGTTAGTAGTAGGTAGTAGTAGTAGTAGTAGTAGTAGTAGTAGTAGTAGTAGTAGTCGTAGTAGTAGTAGTAGTAGTAGTAGTAGCAGCAGCAGCAGCAGCAGCAGTAGTAGTAGTAGTAGTTGTAGTAGTAAGTAGTAGTAGTAGTAGTAGTAGTAGTAGTAGTAGTAGTAGTAGTAGTAGTAGTAGTAGTAGTAGTAGTAGTAGTAGTAGTAGTAGTAGTTAGTAGTTAGTAGTAGTAGTAGTAGTAGTAGTAGTAGTAGTAGTAGTAGTAGTAGTAGTAGTAGTAGTAGTAGTGGTCGTAGTAGTCGTAGTCGTAGTAGTAGTAGTAGTAGTAGTAGTAGTAGTAGTAGTAGTAGTAGTAGTAGTAGTAAGTAGTAAGTAGTAAGTAGTAAGTAGTAAGTAGTAGTAGTAGTAGTAGTAGTAGTAGTAGTAGTAGTAGTAGTAGTAGTAGTAGTAGTAGTAGTAGTAGTAGTAGTAGTAGAAGTAGTAGTAGTAGTAGTAGTAGTAGTAGTAGTAGTAGTAGTAGTAGTAGTAGTAGTAGTAGTAGTAGTAGTAGTAGTAGTAGTAGTAGTAGTAGTAGTAGTAGTAGTAGTAGTAGTAGTAGTAGTAGTAGTAGTAGTAGTAGTAGTAGTAGTAGTAGTAGTAGTAGTAGTAGTAGTAGTAGTAGTAGTAGTAGTAGTAGTAGTAGTAGTAGCAGTAGTAGTTGTAGTAATAGTAGTAGTTGTAGTCGTAGTAGTCGTAGTAGTAGTGCTGGAAGTGCTGGTCGTAGTAGTAGTAGTAGTAGTAGTAGTAGTAGTAGTAGTAGTGGTAGTAGTAATAACAGTAGTAGTCGTAGTAGTAGTATTGGTAGTATCAGCAATAGTGATACTCATAATAGTAGTTGCAATAGCAGTAGTAGTAATCGTGATAGTAGTCGTAGTAGTAATAGTAGTAGTAAGACTCAAAGTCGTAGTAGTTGTAATCGTAGTAGTAAGACTCGTGATCGTAGGAGTACTAGTTGTAATAATAGTCGCGGTCGTGGCCGTCGTCAGGGGAGCCGTAGTAACAGCAGGATCGATCATGAAAACGCTAATAGTAATTAAAAAAAAACGCAGCCGTATAACGTCTGGTACCCTTGTAAAACAACTAGTCGTAATAGTTGTTGTCGTAGTAGTAGTAAGCGTAGTCGTGGTAGGAGTAGTCAGTGTAGATGTACCAGAAGTAGTAGTAGTAGTAGTAGTAGTCGTAGTAGTCGTGGTCGTAGTAGTAATAGAAGTAGTAGTCGTAGTAATAGTGGTGGTAGTAATAATAAAAGTCATAGTAGTAGTAGTAACCGTCATCGCACTGAAAACAACGTGGTAGCATTAGTAACCGTAGTAGTAATAATATTGGTACTCGTAGTCGTCCCCGTCGTCGGCGTATCTGAGGTAGAAAATAGAATCGTACTAGTAGGCGTGCTGATGAAAGGAATAGTCGTAGGTAGCAGCCGTACAAGTAGCAATCATCGTAGTAGTAGTAGTAGTAGTAGCAGTAGTAGTAATACTAGCAGTAGTAGTAGCAGTAGTAGTAATGAGAGTCGACGTAGTAGTCGTAGCCGAAGTAGGAGTAACCGGATAAGTAGCAATACTAATCGTACTTCTGCTACTAGTCGTAGCAATCGACGTAGTAGTACTGGTAGTAGTAGTGCATGTACGGGTAGTCGTAGTCGTCGTCGCATCAGGCGTGGTGGGACTTGTAGTAGTGGCAGTAGTCGTCGTAGTCGTTACCCGAATTCGTAGTCGTAGGCGTCGTCGTCGTAGTCGTAGTAAAAAAATAGGAGCCGTGGTCGTCGAAGCTGCACTTCAAAAAATAGTAGTGAACGGTGTTACAAGAATCAATAGTAATAGTGGTAGTAGTGATACGAATACTAATAATCGTAGTGGTAGTCGTAATCGCAGTGAAAAAATAATGGTACCAATAACAATAAAACTAAAAGTCGTCTTAGTAGTAGTAGTCGTTGCAATAGACGTGATCGTCGTCGTCGCAGTAGAAATCGTCGGAACATCAGAGTTAAAGTATTGGTAGTAGTAGTAGTAGTAGTAGTAGTAGTAGTGGTACGAGTAGCAACTGCAGTACAAGTAATTAAACTAATTGTGGCAAAAATAGGAGAAGTTGGTTTAGTCGACGTCGCAGTCGTCGAAGTGAAACTGGTAGGGCTAGTAATCGTAATAAGTTGGTAAGCCACCGTAGTAAAAGTAGTAATCGTAGTGGTGAGAGTGATTGTGGTAGTGGTAATCGAAAATAAGAGAATTAATAATAGTGGTCGTAGTAGTAGTAGTAGTAGTCGTCGTAGAAGTCACCGTCGTAGTAGTAGTAGTCGTAGTAGTCGTAGAAGCAAAGGTAGAATTAGTAGAAGTACTCACGATCGTAATAGTAGTCGCCGGACTGGTAGTAGTAGTCGTAGTCGCCGTAGTAAAAGTAGTGGTCGTCGGCGTCGTGTTCGTCGCTTTTTTCGCTGGGGTGGTACTAGTGGTCGTAGCAATAATTGCAGTAGTTGGGTTAGTCGCGATAAGCGGTACAGGGGGTAGTAATCGTAGTAATACGAATCGGCGGAGTAGTAGTAGTAGTAGTAGCAGTATTAGCAGCGGTAGAACTAGTAGTCGTAGTGGTAGTTATAAGGTTAAGAGTAGTAGTAGTAGTAGTAGTAGTAGTAGTAGTAGTGGTAGTAGTAGTAGTAGTAGTAGTAGTAGTCGTCGTCGTAGTAGTAGCAGTAGTAGTAGCAGTACAGGTAGTAGTGATAGTACTAGAAGTAGTCGTAGTAGTAGTAGAAGTCGTAGTAGTAGTAGTAGTAGTAGTAGTAGTAGCAACAATAGCAGTAGTCGTAGTAATAGTAGTGGTAGTCGTAATGGTTGTACTGAGAGACAAATAGTGACGCAGGTAGTAATAGGGATATAAACCGTGAGTGTAGTACTTGCATGAATAGGAGTAGTCGTGGAGGTATAGGTATAAGTAGAAGTAAAAGCAGCAGCGTTAGTAGTAGTCGTAGTGTCGTAGTCGCCGTCGTCGTCTTAATCGTAGTAGTAGCAGTAGTAATAGTAGCAGCAGTAGTAGATGTACTGGTAGCAGTCGTTGTGATAGTTGAAGTACTGGTCGTACTAGGGGTTGTAGTAGTAGTAGTAGTCGTAGTCGCAGTAGTAGTCGTCGTAGTAAGCATAGTAGTAGTAGTAGTAGTCGTCGTAGTAGTAGTAGTGGTGGTGGTGATGGTGGTAGTAAGAATAGTAGTAAAGAGTAGTAGTAGTAGTCGTAGTAGTAGTAGTAGTAGTAGTAGTAAGGTCAGTGGCTGTAGTATCAGTAGTAGTCGTGATAGTAGCAGCCGTAGTCGTGATTGCATTATTAGTATTATTATGAATATAAAAAGTATTAGTGGTAGTGGCAGCAGTAGGACTAGACGTAGCACAAGTAGTAGTAGAAGCAGTTGTAGTAGAAGTAGTAGTAGTAAACGTAGTGGTACTAGTACTCGCAGTAGTTGAATAAGAAACCGTAGCCGTAGTAGTAATAGTAGTAGTAGTAGTAGGAGTAGTAGTAGTAGAAGAAGAAGTAGTAGTAGTAGTAGTAGAAGTAGTAGTACTAGTAGTAGCAGTAGTAGTGGTAGTAGTAGTAGTAGTAGTAGTAGTAGTAGTAGTAGTAGTAGTCGTGGTGGTGGTGATGGTAGTAATGGTAGTAGTAAAAGCAGTGGTCGTCGACTTTGTCGTCGGGTTCGTGTTCGTCGACTTTGTGCGGTGTACGGGTTTACGGAAACCCGGGATTTAGTATCTCCCTAGTGATAATGAAGTTCGGGCCAGCTGCTCCCCACCGCCGACACCAACTGTCTTGGCCAAAAATATAATCATCAGGTTGGTGGGCATGCGCCGAATTACGTGTATGTCGTTGCCTGTTTCCCGAACACCACGTCGCCTCCCACCTCGGACGCCGCGATTGGACGCCCCCAGAGTCACGGCGAGGAGGCGAAGGAGAGCTGGCCGGGGAACCCCGCCGCCCTCGCCGGCCTCCACCCGAACCCTTCGGGACGCTCTGGGCAACTCCCGGCACGCGCTCGGCGCGGCGCAGCTGCTCGAGGGCCCCCCCGAGGCCCTGGAAGACCGCCGAGATCCGACAAAAACGCCAGAGATCCTCGATTTGGACGCCCGAAATGGGTACGGAAAGAATGGGAACAATGCCCAACAGCAGTTCCTGTTCATTCTGCACAGGACTCGCTGTCCACGCCGCCGCGGCCTGTGTCCATTCGAGACAGAAGGCCGCCTGCCCAAGAGCGGCCGCTGTTGGTTTGGGACAACATTTGCTGTTGGGCATTGTACCCATGCTTTCCGTACCCCTTTCGGGCGTCCAAACTCGAGCCTCGAGCCTCAAACCTCGAGCCCGCCCCCCCCCCCGACGCTGCCCCCGATGCCCTCGCCGGTCTTGGCCGCTGTCAGCAGGCGGCCGGCGGGCGGCCCAGCGCAAAGAGCCCCCTCACGCGGCCGCCGTCGCGCCCGCGGCCGCCGTGGCACCCGCGGCCGCCGCGTCGGCCCCGCCCTTCTTGGCCACGGGCAGGAAGAGCTTGAACTCCGGGGGCAGCTCCTCCTCCGCAGGTATCGGGGATGGACAGACCTCCCTTTAGTAAAACGTGGTTTAGTGAAAACGACCTGAGGCCCAAACCTGGCGGGCGCAAGCCTGGAAAACAACGGCCACGGCGCCCTCTCGAGAACCGAAAACGGACAATTCACTAATCGACGTGTCACTGTAGGGGGTTCTGTCCAGCCCCGAAAGTAGCAAAGCGAGGGAAACAGGATTGTAGAAACTCTTCCTTTCGGAGGTGCGCGCGGATTCCTGGGATCGGCGCAGGAGCCCCCTGGCGGCGCCTCCGGCGCCGCCCCTGCGCGCTCTGCGCGTCAGGGATGGGGGTCCAGCGCCGATCCAACAAAATCCGCGCGGACC